GCTCCGGCAGAGCCAGGACCCCTGACAGGCCTAAAATCATTATGCCAGGGACAGGCTGGCCTTTCCTTCCCCCCAGGGCACACAGCTAGACTACATTTCCCAGCCTCCCTTTCAGCAGGTGTAGCCATGTGACTACGTGCTCCCAATGGGAACATGAGAAGAAGCCTTGTGTACCAGACCCAGACCTGGCTCAGATAAACCACCTGAGCAATCCCCACTCTCTCTCCTCCCCACCCTGCCTGCTGGGTGTCGATGCTGAGGGACACCTTAGGAGCTACCTGCTTTGGTGACAGAATCTTCATCTGCTTGAGGTTCTGAAAAACTGTGTGAAACAGTGCTCTTCCCTTTGACCTTTACTGTCCACTGGACTTTGAGCAAAAGACGCATTTCTGTTTTGTTAAGGCTACTGTATTTGGGGTTTCTCTGTTGTAGCTGCTGGTGTTCCTTTAACAAAAGCGGAAGTTGGTACCTCCTAGGAAGGGCTGTCATAATAAAACCTAATACATGTGGCATTGGTCCACTGGGCAGGCAGAAGGCGGCCAGAAACCTGATACTGGAAGCTGGGACACTAGAGACCACCTAGGAGAAGTGTCCCACAAGATGCCTGGAAAGGTAGACTGTGTACCCACTGAGCCTAAAACCCAGAGGACAAGGTGAATGGAGTAGGTTGTGCTCCCCAGAGACTCAGAAACAATAGGAAATACACATAGGTCTATAAATGACCACGAAGCTGGCCCTGGCCCATAGGTGAAGCCACAACACTGAGGGCTTGTAGCCTGCAAAGACCCGTTATGAATCCTTCCTGAGGCCAAGGTGGGACTGAGGCTGTGGCCTCTCACCTACTGTTTCTGATGGTCTCCAACTCGCTTCCATCAGGTTGACAGACAGGGGTTGGGCGAGGAAGCACAGAACAAGTCAGACCCGAGGATCGTACGAATAAAGACGTTGCAGGCTCATGAAAACGACTAGAAGCAAATAGAGCAGAAGCCTACTACATTTTTGAGAAATAGTATTACCAAATAAGCCATGGGCTTTATATCTTTGTCAACACTAGAAATATCAGGCTTTAATATCTTTATTAAACCTGTGGGTAGAAAATTGTATCTAGCTGAGATTTGAATGTATACTTTCCTGATTTTCAATGAGGTTGAGAATCTTATTTTTGGCCATTATTCCATTTCCTTCTGTGAAATGCCTGTGTCTGGCTCATTATTTTTTCTGTTTAATCTTTAAAAAAAATTCATTATTGATTTTTTAGGACTTCTACATAAATCCTGGATACTAATATTTTCCCAGGTAATGTGTTTCAGAAAGTTTTTCTTACTTTGTGGCTTGACTTTTTAAATATTAATGGAGTCAAATGTATCCATCATTTCTTTTCTGGCTTAATGGTGTCTTGTACCTTGTTTAAGAAATCCTTCCTCACTCCAATGTCATAACGAGATTACCTTTTCTTTTCAAGTTTTAAAAGTCATGCATTTTACATGTAAGTCTTGAACTCATCTGGAATTTTTTTTTTGCCTATGAATTGAGGTAAAAATCCAATTTTGTTTCTTTCCCTATGATCTGACATACACCAAGTTCTCATATATGTGCAGGTCTGTTGTGGGCTGTTCTATTTTCTATTTGTCTACTGTACGGTGTCAGTACCACACTCTGACTTAATGATACATCTTAATATTCGGTACAGTAAAACCCTCCCCTATCTTGTTCTAGGTCTCCAGGAAAGTCCCAACTATTCTTGGCTCTTGAAATTGCCATGTCCGTTTCAAAATGGGCTTGCCAAGCTGGATAAAACATCCCATGTCAGGTGTGACTGGACCTGTAGATCAGGTGGGGGGAGAATGGACGTCTTCATGCTATTGGGTCTTACTGTCCACACAGATCCATCTATTTAAGTCTTTATATTTCTTCCCATGCAGTTCTGTATGTCTTTTGCTAAATGTAGTGGTTTGCAGAGAAGCCCTTCTACCCACATGTACTGATGAAGAAAGATGCTAAAGGCATCGTTCCCAGATGTAAGTACACGTAGCTAGAGGTCTACATGACCCAAACCCAGTTCCTAATCCAAAACTTCACTCACCACCCAGTCTCCTTCGTCTAACATGCAATTTGGATATAGCAAGGATCGCCTGATGTCTCCCAAGTCACAAGGGCCAGCTCAACCATATCCAGATGTGATACGTTGTCAGTTCCACGGGTGCACCTCCTCCACCCCCTGCCCCCATGAGGAATCTTCTCTTTCATAGGGGTAGACAGACACCCCCGGCATCAAGCGCTTGCTGACTTACGAAAGGTAACAATGTACAGGTTTGGAAACCTCATCTCCTCTACCTCTAGCCTCCATGCTTGTTTGTAGGAAAGTCTCTCAATCATTTATTAAATAGCTTTTTTCCCCTGCTAGCCTTTGAGACATATTTGCCAGCGAGGAGTGGTTGTTAAACTAATGACGGCGCGAATTTGCAGCCTGTGTGTACAAAGCGAGCGGCTGTCCCTTGTCGCTGAGCAATCATCCTGGCATGCTAACGCCACTGGAACTCCGTGCACCAGCCAACTCCCGAGTGCTTGGCTGTAATGACAGATAGGAAAGGAAGTGAGTGTCATCTATGAATAGGATGCAGAGAGTCTACGGGCTTCTCACACAACCATCTGCTCCGCACCCCGGAGCCGGTCGCTGATGGTGACATAAAGATATAGACGATGGAAAAATAGGTATATCGGAGATATAAACTTGTATTAAAGAATGAAAACTGACTGCATCCACGTCCACCTTTGGGAAGGGAGAATTGCGTAGTGTGTGTCAGAGGGAAAACTGACCACCCTGAGGCTTTGTCCTATTTCAGAGACCGGAGGATGGGGGCCCAACAGTGCGGTGACTGGAAAGTCTGGTAGCAGACAGTGTGGGGGACCCTGGAGAGGGACAGGGGCCCAACCACGGCGGTGAAAATTCTGCTGAGAAAGGGGCCGTGGGAGACGCCTGGTGTGGGTGGCTGATGGAAGGGGAACCGTTTTAATGCCTGACTCTCCCAGCAGCGTTTGCTCTACTGCGGGTGACGGACCCGAGGAGAACGAGGTGCTTCCCGCGTGGCCCTTTGGCCCAGGAGCAGAGGGAACAGAGAGCTGGAGGTGTGACAGGTGAGAGCTCAGATGGGCAGGCAGGAGGGGCACACCGCCCCCTGGAGCTGGCACAGGACAGGGATTTAGGCCAACCTGACTTAAATCTGAAAAGACAGGAAGACCTCAGCCTACCTGAAAAACCAGGCCCTGCACCTGTCTGTATTTAATGTCGCCTTCAGGAAGGACGCTCACCCATCTTCTCTTTAGACAAATCATCTGACTTTTGACCAGAGTCGCTCACAATGAATAAAATAAATGCACTTGAATTCACCCTTTTCTGGCTCTTGCTCTTCTAGCAAAAACAGGTGCAGAGACCAGACCAGCACGAGGGAGGCACAGGGGCTGTCATAGCCGAATGATGGGTTCCTCACAGCTGGGCACCTTCCCAGAAGCCTGCGCACACCCCTGGGCTACCCTGTCACTCAGAGGGGAAGTCAGCTGCCTGTGACTGCGTCTCCCACTGGACCAGAGCTTGTCAAACCTGGTTGTACATCAAGATCATCTGAAGAGCTTTTCTAAAGTAGTGATCTGCAGATCACACCCCAGACTGAGTGAACCAGAGCCTCTCTAGCACCTGGGTCTGGATTTGGGTGCATCTGAGTAGCTTCCCTACAGGGCCCTTGTGCGGCCCTGGCTGAGACCCCCTGCATGAGATGGGTGACCTCCTCTGTCAGGACCCATGCTATTTATTCACTGGACAGCCCTGGTTTGTGGAGGGACACAGCAGAATTGAACCGGATTCACGTGAAGACACCAGGACTTGCCTCCCTGCTGATTCTCCTGGGGAAACGGACACCGATTATTAGTGCCCTATAATACGCGTGACTTTCTTGCCGTCACTAGAAGAAAGAGCTTCAAGAGGGAGGAAGACGAGCTGGGTTTGAGTCCAGTATAGGAATCAGCTCAAAGTCGGAGCAGAGGAGGCTGCCCCTCCTCTGAACCCCTTGGAGCTCAGACAGGCTCCCGACTTTGCCAAGCGGCCCAGATCTTGGTGGTGCACCTGGAACGGAACCGCTCTTCCCATCCCTGGCATCCAGCGCCACCCGGCTGTCCTGTGTGAGTGCGTGTGGGTGAGGGTGCCTATGTGCATGCATGCAAGTGTGCAAGTGTGTGTGTGTGCACAGGGTGTGCGGATGTGTGCCTTGGTGTACGCGGGCCTGTGCTGTGAGCACAGGTGTGTACAAGGAATGGGGAAGGCCTGCGATCTGAGCGGGGCCGGTCTCCTCCCCCATGTGACATAGCAAGCGACGCTGTAGTGAAGAGAAAGCCAGGAGCCCTTTCTGCTCTCTGTGGCACCCGGGTCAAGCTGTCAGGTCCAGCAGCGCCTGCCTGCTCCCAGGGTAGACTCTCGGCCTCAGCGCCTGCTGTGTGGGTGTTCTGGGTGAAGTCTTACTGTCGGGGGGCGGCTATAGTGCTGTCTCGGGCTCAGTATGCCGGGAGCTGTGTGCTGGGATGGGGCAGGTGTGGGCGGAGCTGCCGCTGGCTTAGGGCCCAGGACGGCTCTGTGGATGGAAGGCAGCCTTCCCCTTCCGTGAAGTCAGCGGCTCCGCGCTCTGGTGTTTTGGCGAATGATGGTGTTTTCACGGACAGTTCTCTCTGCTCATCCCAGTGTCCTCCTCATGACCAGGCCCGAGAGACTGGGGTGACCCCGGATTCTGGCTCAAAGGCTGCTCAGGGTACAGCCTGGCCAGGCTTGAGGTCCCCCCTTGCTTCCCCCAGTCCCCAGGGAGGCCAGGTGGAAAAGGCGGGGCCTCGGGGGTCTGACCCGCATGCCGGGCCCGGCGGAGCGGTGCAGGCTGGTTACGACAGGGCCCAAGCTCCCGTCAGCCAGGGCGAAGCTCCGCAGAGGTCGGCCAAGGGTCGGAAACTCCTTAGAAACTCACCGGAGCAGTTGGAAACCACCGTCTCATGGGCTTTGCTTTTCATCCAAATTGTTCGGATCACAATGGCATAGATGACGCTGTGGAAAAAAGCACAGGTGATGTGAGGATGGCTGGTGGGTCCCCCCGGGCGGACACAGATGGGGCACTGCTCCCACTTCCTGAGTGTGAGCTGTGGAGGGAGGGGTGCTCCCTATCCGCTGATGATAGAGCCACAGCAGATCGAAACCAAAACCACCAGCAAGATCAGCTGGATGCAGCCACTTTTCTAAGTGAGGAGGCCCTGGCTGGTGAAGTTACATCTCTCTAAGGTCACCCCAGTGGGTAGAGGTACAACTGAGGTTAGAATCCAAACACAGGGTTTAGCGTCAGAAGGATTTCGATTTGTAACCGGCTCTACCACTTGCCAGTTGTACGACAACTTTAGTCCCGACTGTGGCCCCCCGATTCCTGCCTTGGGTGTGCAGGCCTCTGTGTGACCCTCTCTTGTCGGGTGTGATGGGACCTGTGACTGGCTTCTAATCGATGCATTGGGATGAAGGTGGTGGGATGTTCGTGGTTACGTAGGAATGTTGCATCTGTCTTGCTCATGTCTGTCTCCGTTGCTGGCTTTGAAGAATCAATTACCTGGGGCTGCAGAACCATGAGTCTTACAGCCCCAGGAAATGAATTCTGCCGAGAACCCATGAGAGATGGGAAGAGTATCCTTCCCCAGCTGAGCCTCTGATGGGCACCCAGCCCTGGCTAGCACCTTGATTGTCGCCTTGCCTCAGCAGATGACCTACAAGAACTATGAGATAATTAAGTGTGTGGTTTTGTCACCAGGTTCATGATCATTTGCTATCAAGCAACAGATAATGTAGCAATTAGAGTCATCTAGGCTGAATGTGTGTGTCTCTCTGAAACTAATCTGTTGACATGCTAATGCCCAGTGTGATGGTATATGGAGCTGGAGTCTTTGGGACATGCTTAGGTCTTAAGGGTGGAGCCCTCGTGAACGGGGTGAGCACCCTTCTAAAAGAGATGCTAGGCCATTCCACCATGTGGGGACAGAGAGAAGTCTGCAGCCTGGGAGAGGCTCCTCACCGGACCCTGCTAGCACCCCGATGTCAGACTTCCAGCCTCCAGACGGTGGGCAATGCATCTCTGTTGTTGGCAGTCTGTGGCATTCTGTTGTGGCATCCAGGCGAACAAAGACAGAGAGCCCCAGTTGAAACTGTAAAATGCAGCTAACTGTCCAAACCTCTTAAGAGTTTTTTGGGAATGAGATGTGACAACATTTTATTTTTTAATTTTTTAAATCTGCACCCAAGGATATTTTTCCCATTTATGCTTAGATAGGGTGTACGGGAGGAGGGAATGGAGAGAGAGAGAGAGAGAAACATCAATGTGATAGAGCCAGAGATGTGACCATGTTAAAAGTGCCAAGCACAGTGCTTGAAAATGAGACTCAAGAAATGTCATTTTCTGTCCCTCTTCCTTCTCCATTTTTCACACATCACTTCTGCTCCTGTGGGATACAGTCTGTGCCTAACAGGAAATCGACGTGTGAGTGACTCAGAAGCAGCAGCAAAACGCGTATCCTATGTCCACTCCGGTAACTATAAAGATCGATACCCTTCTTTCAAATACACTAAGTGTCCCGCCTAAAAACCTGGGGAGAAAGCAGCGCTTCATTTTCAAACCGACCGACTTCCCTCCTGAGAATCACTGTCTGAGAAAGGAATCGGAGTTCTCATTTGCAGCAGCCGACAAAGCACTAATCGCTCGTCACGATCTTTAGAATCTAACTTAATTAATAACTTGTTAAAATGCTCTGCTACTTCCTGTTTTCCCGTCTTACTCCGCCAACCCCGACTCCCCCCCCACCCCCCATATACCTGCCCAGGGATTTTTCTGGAATTCGTATGTCTACATTAAAGAAAAAAAAAATGAGGAAAAAAATGACTAGTGAACCTGTTATTTACTTCAAGTTGAGTATTTACTAGAGCTGGGAAACTGTTCCCCAGATAAATGAAATACAAGGAAAAGTTACAACCATGCGAAGTCTGTGTTACGATCGCAAGCCCAGTACTTAACTGATCAATAATTCAAATATTTATTGACCATCCACCCAGACTCGGTGGGAGTGAGGAAAGGCATCCTGTGTCAGGGGTTCGGGCCTAAGTCACCCCACCTTCTCTTTCAAGCCAGCCAGGCAAGAGGAAATCAGCCCCCGCGTTACTGTCAGCCAGGAGATGCCCGGTACTAGGCACCCTTTCATCTACCACCAAATCAGGCCGCTTCTCTAAGTGCAACAGGCACGCGTCCGGGAGACCTCGGAATTACCTGCTTCCTCATTTCTGTCTTCCCATTAATCGGCAAGCTCTGTGGATTGTCCCTTCAAAATGTCCTTATTCTCTGTCCGCTCCTCTCCATCCCTGCTCTTTAGGATCCTTACAGCCTCTTTTTATAGATGCCGGTGAGTTTTCATTGTGATGAAACAAACGTAACGTCAGATGCTCCCCGTGAGCCACTGTAAGTGTGCAGTTCGGTGGCGTTAAGTACGTTTACGATGTGCCACCGCCACCATCCATTTCCAGAGTCTTGTCATTCCTCCCAAACTGAAAGTCTATCCATTAAACACAAAAATATGGATGTTCTTGAATGTACGTGTTACTCTCCCCCAGAGGCCGTACTGATTGCTCCAGATCATTCTAATTTTGGTGAGCTTGCTGCGAAGCGGGTACCCCATATAACCTCGTGCCCGACTGTTGCCAGCATGTCCTAAGACCTCCACTCTGCTGCCCCCTCCAATGCTCACCCCCATCAGAGCTGTGCTCCGGCGGAGAACCTTCCCTGGCCTGGAAGCCCTCCATGTCCTACAAGATGACACCCAGCGTCGTCAGCAGGTCATCCAACGCCTCCCCGGTCTACCTCAGCCTTCCTCACCTTGATCCTTACCATCCTGCCCATAACCACAAATTACACACATGTAACACATCAATGGATTCTATATAAGGTACTCTATATGATTACACAGGAGCAAAATCCTATGAAGATATATTGTAGGGTGATACAGGAGCATATACTTGGGGCCCCGACTTGTTCGGGGGGTCAGGAGCACCTTCCCAGAGGAGGCGAACTTTCTGCTAAGATCTGAAGGAGAAAAGGGTGTTTTTATTGCAGAGCAGGATAATCACCCAGGCTGAGGGCAGTGTGTGCAAAGGCTCAGAGGCAGGGGGCGCACGGCACGTCTGAAGAACCTGGGGAAGGCTGTGTGGCCGAGCGTGCGTGTGGGCAGTGTGTGACCTCAGATGAGGGTGGCCTTGTACCCAGGGTTACAGGTATCCAACTTTGTCCTGAAACACTGGAAATTTACTGATGGACTCTGACCAGGAAAGTGAAATGACAGAGTTTTTGCTAAGGTCAGACGTTTTCCAGTGTGGACACGTTGTCCCTGTGTAGTCGGAGATGCTGATGGCTGAACCGAACAGCCTTGGGAAGGTACCCGAGGAATTCTTCACAGCGCTGCCTCTGGGGAGTGGGACACGGCGGGACGCGGGAGGGGGACTGCTGCTCGTCATTTCAGACGCTGCTGTATGCGCAGCAGTTCTCCCGAAAACACAGTGGCTCTGACTTGGAGCAGGGACCGAAAGGGGGTGAGAACAGAGAGGAAGCTGCTGCACTAACAGACTGAACGATGGTAATGACCCTGGGAGTGTGTCCAGCCACTGTCCTTGGATTTTATTCCATCTTTTGGTGAAATGATTACACAGTGGGGCCGAATGACGGGGTGGGGGTGGGGAGAATATGCTCCAGAAGCAATGGAAACTATTGGATGTAAAAATCCTCAGATGGAAACAGGGATGCCCTCACCTCTCACCCCCGTGCCCAGGTAGGGGATGGTCGGGAGGGAAGCAGTCAGCCTTGGGCCCTGCTCTGTGCCCGTCTCTGCGGAGCGCCTGCCACCGTGGCTCATTAACTGCACTGGTTACCATGGTGCTGGGCCCTGTATGGTCAGTGCTTCGTACATCTTGATTATGCTTTTTATTTCCTACAAGTTCTTATTTGATGTTTTTTTTGTGAGAACAATGGGAAGAAGAGTTTATTGTCCCCATTGTATGGATGACAAGGCTGAAGCCCCATGGCTGGGAAGTAGCAGAGACCAGATTCAAATCCAGGTCTGCTGGCCACCAGAGCGCTGATGTGACGTTGTGGAGACAATACTAGTGATTTGCTCACCATAGCAGTCCACCAGTAATTGTGCCAAATCCTTCAGGGAAAGGATCTCATTGAATCCCTCCAACAACTGAGCATGGTTGGTGCTAGTATTGTTCCCGTTTTCTAGGCGGGAAGGCTTCTGTTTGGAGAGCTTCCTGACTTGTTGAGTTCACACAGCACAGGATGGCAGCGCTGGACCGCAGCCTGGGTCCTCTGACTGCAAAGTCTCGTCAACCTCATGCGATGCTGTCTCTCAGCCAGGAAAATGCGCACGATCCTTTGTGGGACGTATTCAGGCTACAGGGCCATCTGGTTCCAGTTCCTCCCCAAATGCTTTCTTTGATCTCTAGACCAGGTTAGCACCCTCTGCTCGGGTCCCGTGGGACTCTCTCTTTACCCTCCCAAACACTCATCACACTGTGTTATAACTTCTCTCTTAACTGGCTGCCTCCTCTGTTATATAAGGAGATTCCTGAACTCAGATGCCATGTGTGTCTGGTAATTTCTTTATCTCCCTTGCCTGGACCAGAGTTTGGCAGAGGGTGGGTGCCCTAGAGGTATTTCTGGAAAGAACGAGTCGATGGATAGAGGCACAGAAGTAACAGTTATAGGAAGTCACTCCCTTTACTCATGTGGTGGGTTGTCCTCATTGGTCTCAGACCTCACGCCCCTGGGCTGTGCTGGTCGGGCCCCTAGGGCCGTGTTTTTCACCATGAAACGTTTTGTACTCCACAGGGCTGTGCCAAGCTCAGCGTGGGCTCTCCCAGTCTTATCCCCAATCCCCAAGCAAACTCCATGCATCTGGCTCGTGTCCCGTGAGGCAGTACTCTGAGACGAACAGCTTTTCCCACTGACTCCCTTGCCTTGTTGGCCATGGTCGTTTATGCCTCTACCTTTATCTCAGGAGATGAAGATGATAGGGGAATGGGGAGTTAATTAGGTAGCAAGCAAATAACCACAGCTAAAGCAATAAAACTGCTCCAGGTCTAATAACCTCCCCAGCAACAGTTACACAGTTATGACAAGTGAATTTGGAGACAACGGAAGTTGTGTTGACCCAGAAAAACATGGCGTTGCCGTTACTGTCACTCATTGTGACTTCAAGTCCTGAGAGCACGATTTCACTAATGAGAGAGCAGCTAAATCTTCATCCACACAGCTCTCTCGTGAGCTTGCCACAGGCAGTGTGACTCCTTTCTCCTCGCTCTCCCTCCCTCTCCACCTTTCTTCCTCTCTGCTGTCTGTCTTTTCTCCTTTCCTTCTTCCCATCACCTGTATCTCTGGCCGATCCACCATACGGCAGACGTCGATCTAGGCACTAAATAGCCAGGAATGGCCACGTTAGGTGTGTGAAAGAATGCGACGGAGACAGTGACAATGGGCCCTGTGTTCCGTGGCTGGTGCAGGGTCCGTCAGGCCTGCACTGTCATTCTGTCCAGCATTTGTGAAGTGTCTGTTGCATGCTGGATTTGGAATCCAGAATGTATTTGACTCCCTCATGTCTAATTTCACGTGTCCACGCTTTCTCTGCTTTTCTGAATTATGTCTGTCTTATGAACGGAAAGCAAAATAAAACCACATTCAACATGAAAAGGCAAATGACAGATTAAGGGAATATCCTCAATATATAAAAACAGGAAGAATTTATTCTGTAAAGAATATCTCTAGTGTATAGAGGAAATAAAACAAAATAGAGAAAAATGGGTAAAAGAATATCAATAGGTAATGTATTTAAAAAACAAAAATGATAAACATATGTGTTCAGCCTCATTTGTAATAATAAAAAATGCAAATTAAAACAATAGTACATACATATATTTGCCTATGAATTTGGTAGGGATACATATATATATGTATAATGCATGAGAGACAATGAGGCATGAGACAAGGTTGATAGCGGGGGTGATCATTGAGTTATGTTTGTCTGCTTTAGCTTGGAATTAAGAGTTTAACCTTATCTAAACCAACCATAAGCAACAGAATCAAACTCAGGGAGCTAAAGTGTGTTTAAAAAAGAAAAAAGGAAAAATAAAAGAGTTGAACTTTAGCTCCAAAAGATACATTGTAGCAACTTAGCCCAGGAATTAGTTGGAAAGTTCCCTCTGAGCCTGGTCTTGTCTCAAGAAAGAAGGGGGAGGACGTAGAGGGGGAGACGGTGGAGGGGGAGGTTGTGGAGGGGGAGGCGTTGGAGGGGGAAGCAGAGGGATCCATGTCCATCGGAGAGGAGCTCCTTGCCTAACAAACACGAGGATCCTGATCGCACAGGAGTGAAGGCCATGGCTGAGCAGATAGGAAACACTTCAGAGAAGCTCAAGGGCAGAGGGAAGTCACTCTTTGAGTGTCCATGGTTCTCCCGAGGCTGGAAGCGAGGAGCACGCTTTAAGGAGGCTTTAGTTTGTTTGATGGGGGTTGAGTGAAACCCACTTTTGAAATCACCCCCTTTAATCATCAAATGATACTTTGCTGTTTCTAAGAACAGCACAGAAACACACCTGTTGGCTGTAGGCAGGTTTGAGAAGTCCTGGTGGGAAGAAGCAGCTTGATTAATGAGGGACATTTCCGACAGTGAAAGGCCCCTGTGACAGGTCTGGATACAAGAGCACCACGTGAGCCACGTGGTTCGGCCACGTATCTGCCCTGCTGAGCGAGGTTTGACCAAGTCCATGAGCTGATGGGAAATCAATCAGGAGAGAAACAAGGACCTGCGGCTGCTGCTGAACTTGATCAGTCAATTGCCTGTGACAGCCTGAGCTGCCTCCTTCCAAATATTTTCTTGTGGCCGAGACAAGCATCTCTCCTCACCCCCGTGGCTCTTCTAACGTTGCTCTGACCTACCTTTAATTGGTTGTCTAAATAACCTTCATCTTTCCTTCAAGATTCCTCCCAAATTCAACTCGGTGGAGAGGAGCACAGTACGTTGAAACGGATTGTAGATGTGAGTTTATCAGTTGAGCAGGGATCTCCAGCCTCCGCAGAGCTGCTGGGCTGGTTTCTGGGGATCCCTCTGCCCAGTTTGACCTCTGATGGAGAGCAAGTCATTTTGCTTCTTTTAGCCCTAAGTCTGTTCTTGTAAAAAATTCAAAGGCTGAGTTATGTGATGGATAACATTTCTCCAGCTTTAGCATTTTCTGAGACTCAAGGGAGCAAGGAGCAAGAATAATTCATTCCCATAATATCAGAAAACACTCCAAAGATTTCATGACCATTTAATGATCAAATAAATGCATATTGAAACAATGAGGTAATTTTTCTTTAAACTTTATGATTGACAAAGGTTTAATAAAAAAAGTGCTACCACCTTCCATTGGGTCGGGGGCAGAGTAACCAGAGCTCTTATTCGTTGTTGGCAGAAATATAACTTTCCTGGAGGACAGTTGGTGAATATGCACCAGGCTTAAAATGAGCACCATCCTTGATCTAGCAATCCCACTAGAATGAGTTCGGAGGAAGTGATCGGAGACTCAAGTGATTTTTTTAAGTACCAGGATTTTTATCACAGCATTATTCTACCAAAGACTGATCTTCCTTTGCCCGGACAAATTATGTGACACGCCTTGGCAGGCTTGGGGACACTCAAAGGTGCAGGATCGCAGGATTAGCATGGCCTGCATACACACCAAACACCCAGACATCTCCCTGCAGCCCCCACCCACGCAGAGCCACCCTTCCAGAGGTGACCCTGCCTTGTCCAGGTGGCTGTGGTCCTCTCTGCTGGAAGACCAGCTCTAGCCCATCATTGGCCACAGGACAAAGGGAGCTTCCTATGGCTTGGTTGCTAAGGCCCTTCACAGTTGAGCCTCGCCCCACCCAGAAAGAGCTAATTGTCAACGTCTCTCCCACCGGCTCTGCCTGCTTGTTCTTCCCTGTTACCACACTCAGTCTGACCTCTGGTCACCAGGGAGCCAGCTGTCCCTCTACTTTCCCCTTTTCCCCTCTGAATTCTTCTGTCCTTCATGTTGAAAGAAATGTTCCCCGCCATCACCTGACCTCACTGCACACACACTCGAGCCTAATTTTTGGTGTTGTTATGGTTTTTGTTGAGTTTCGTTTCAAGTGTGTCTATCTTTTCAAGGATAAGATCTCTGAAACTGGTACTATGTCTTACATTTGAAAGGCTGGAGAAAGAACAGGGTATGAAATCAGAGAAACCTGGGTTCAAATCCTGTGTGATGTTGGGTGAGTTACTTAACCTCTCTGAGCTTGAGTTTTTTTAATCCTCACTCGAGGATATTTTTCCATTTTTTGTACAGATAGAGTGGGAGGGAGAGAGAGAGAGAGAGAAACATCGACGTGAAAGCGACACATCGAGTGGCTGCCACCCACACGACCAACCAGGGCCGGGGACAAACTGCAACCGAAGTACGTGCCCTTAGCGGGAACCGAACTCGGGTCTCTCCGGACTGCAGGCCGACGCTCTAACCGCTGAGCCAAACTGGCCAGGGCTGAGCTTGAGTTCTATCATTAATTAAATGGGGCAGCAGTCCTTCGTACATAGAGTTCAGTGTGGTTAATGGGGTCCCTGTTAGCACTCAGCGCAACGCCCGTCCCACGGTCCTCCCTCGGAAGATAGGACAGCCCTGCCCCGCGCTCTACTCTGGAGGGTTTAGGCTGAGCACAAGCTTTAGGTACATCGTGTGGCCGGGCCAGTTTCCCCAAGAACAACAGGGACAGTGAGTGACCTGCAGGGGAGGAGCGGCAGGAAGGCTCCCGTGGGGGTCCGGCCTGCTGGCCCCTTACCTGATGATTGTCAGGGGGATGAAGTACACCAGGAAGGCCACGACGGTCATGTACGGGGTCCAGTAGGAGTCGTCGGGCCACAGGGCCCAGCACTGCACTTCACCGTTGGAGAGCTTCCTTTTCCCAAAGATGACCAGGGTGGGGATGGAGAAGAGGAAGGAGAGGCCCCAGGCGGTCACGATGAGCAGCTTGGCCTGCTTTTCTGCTCGGAGAGAGGGGGAGGGCTGGGCATCTGGGAGCATGCTGAGGGAGCACACTGGGGTCGAGTGTAGAGAAGGATCATGGTGCGAGAGGCACTCTGCACCTCTCGGAGCCTCAGTTTCCTTGTCTGCACAATGGGGTTGTAGGCCCTGCGTCTAGGGCTGATGCGAGGATTAAGAGAGATGTTTGCACAGAAGCTGGCACACTGCCTGGCGTAAGGTCCGTGCTCCCCAATCTCTCCTTCCCTGATTTACCCACCATTTGGAGCCTCAATGCGGCTGTACTCACAGTCCCGGAGAGCTCAGACGGTCCCATGTGCCCGACAGGTTGCCATGCAAATGTGTGTCTCCCGTTACCTCTCTGATCCTCCAAGGCGGGACGTGACCTTTGGTCTGGCTGGCATCCTTCCGTGGTACCACGGTGGCAGCACCCAGAAATAGCCAGTTTACATTCGGATGGTGTATTCACATATAATATAGGGATTACGCATACGAAAATGAGATCATAATATATCTGTTTTGTAGCCTTTTTTTTTTCTCTTAAAAAATAGCATGACCATCTTTTCATGTTGAGAGACCTGCATCTATAGGAGTGGCCTTCAGGCTTCCTCGGGCATTAAGAGCCTTTCTGCAAACATGACTTTACCTGGAGCTCAGGCGGAAGCCCAGGTCGCTCAGGTTGAAGGTGGGTGACAGCCACACCTTGCAGCTTGTCCTGGGGACGAGCCCTCTGGGGGCAGTGTGTGAAGGGCGATTTGAAAAGCACTGGTAAAATACTTTTCCACCAAACTCCAGTTCTACCCATCGCTCATTATTAAGTATTTAAAGTGTTCAATTATTTTTCATTATATAATTTACATATATCTCTTTGCACTGTTCAAATGATTTCCTTAGGCGGAATTTTTGGAAACAAGATTTTGGCAAATATTGTTAAATTTCTCCCCAAAGTCTCTATAATTTATGCTCCCACCGAAAGTTCCTGTTTCCTCCCACTGTCCCAACACCGAGGGGACTCTGTCCCTCATTACTGGTATCTACGCGGACAGATTTCCTACCCAAGTGTTTCGTCTTGCAGTCTTTCCACTAGTAGTTAAAAGAGCATCTCTATATATCCTCCATTCAGTTGTGTTTCTCGTTTTTAAATAATTTTTTATGTCCTTTGCCCACTTTTTCAATTGGAACGTTTCTTTGCCAGGGGTCTTTGTGAGAAGGATACGATCCCTTTGTACACAGACGTTTTCTACTTATTATTTTGTTCTTAAGTATGTTTGCAATGTTTATTACTTGTATAACAAATGACAAAGTTTGATACATTAAGAACTAGCTCTGTTTTCCTTATTGTTTCTGCGTTTGGAATAGTTCCTAGGAGGCTCTTTACCCCCCAAGTTATAAAGATTTTGCCCTTACCCTTTCATGTTGAAAAGTTTTACTTTTCAGTCTAGCTGGGATCGACTTTGTAATTAGCTGTGACTGGTGGTGATCTACTATTTTTTTTTTTTTTTTTTTTATCCTCACCCGAGGACATTTTTCCATTTTTTGTTCAGGTAGAGTGGGAGGGAGAGAGAGAGAGAAACATCGATGTGAAAGGAACACATCGAGTGGCTGCCACCCGCACAACCGACCAGGGCCGGGGACAAACTGCAACCGAGGTACGTGCCCTTAGCGGGAACCGAACCCGGGTCTCTCAGGACCGCAGGCCGACGCTCTAACCGCTGAGCCAAACCGGCCAGGGCCTACTATTTTTTAAAAATGGTTAGACAGCTATTCTAACCATATACTGACTAATTCATTCTTTTCTTACTCATTTGATATCCCTATGCTTTACACTGGTTATTCTGGTCCCAGTATCACCTTGTTTTAATCATCACAGTATTACGTTATGTTTAATGTCTAGCATGGCATGTCTCCTCGCTAGTAGATGGTTTCCTAACTACTTCCGGATTCATTTTTCTCTGGACTTGCAGGAAATGACCACAGGTGGGTCCTGCCAGCTTCCCATGGTCCATTCTCCAGGGCAAGGCTGTGCTGCTCCGTGGGAACCCCCCTCCTGCCTCCCGTTCGCTCAGTCACCCCCTCCTGCCTCCCCTTCGCTCAGTCACCCCTCCTGCCTCCCCTTCGCTCAGTCACCCCCTCCTGCCTCCCCTTCCCTCAGTCACCCCCTCCTGCCTCCCCTTCGCTCAGTCACCCCCTCCTGCCTCCCCTTCCCTCAGTCACCCCCCTCCTGCCTTCCCTTCGCTCAGTCACCCCCTCCTGCCTCCCCTTCCCTCAGTCACCCCCTCCTGCCTCCCCTTCGCTCAGTCACCCCCTCCTGCCTTCCCTTCCCTCAGTCACCCCCTCCTGCCTTCCCTCCGCTCAGTCACCCCCTCCTGCCTCCCCTTCCCTCAGTCACCCCCCTCCTGCCTTCCCTTCGCTCAGTCACCCCCTCCTGCCTCCCCTTCCCTCAGTCACCCCCTCCTGCCTCCCCTTCCCTCAGTCACCCCCTCCTGCCTTCCCTTCGCTCAGTCACCCCCTCCTGCCTTCCCTTCCCTCAGTCACCCCTCCTGCCTTCCCTTCCCTCAGTCACCCCCTCCTGCCTTCCCTCCGCTCAGTCACCCCCTCCTGCCTCCCCTTCCCTCAGTCACCCCCCTCCTGCCTCCCCTTCCCTCAGTCACCCCCTCCTGCCTTCCCTTCCCTCAGTCACCCCCTCCTGCCTTCCCTCCGCTCAGTCACCCCCCTCCTGCCTTCCCTTCGCTCAGTCACCCCCCTCCTGCCTTCCCTTCCCTCAGTCACCCCCTCCTGCCTTCCCTCCGCTCAGTCACCCCCTCCTGCCTTCCCTTCCCTCAGTCACCCCCTCCTGCCTTCCCTTCGCTCAGTCACCCCCTCCTGCCTTCCCTTCCCTCAGTCACCCCCTCCTGCCTTCCCTCCGCTCAGTCACCCCCCTCCTGCCTTCCCTTCCCTCAGTCACCCCCCTCCTGCCTCCCCTTCCCTCAGTCACCCCCTCCTGCCTTCCCTTCGCTCAGTCACCCCCCTCCTGCCTCCCCTTCCCTCAGTCACCCCCTCCTGCCTTCCCTTCCCTCAGTCACCCCCCTCCTGCCTCCCCTTCCCTCAGTCACCCCCCTCCTGCCTCCCCTTCCCTCAGTCACCCCCTCCTGCCTTCCCTTCCCTCAGTCACCCCCTCCCGCCTTCCCTTCCCTCAGTCACCCCCTCCTGCCTTCCCTTCCCTCAGTCACCCCCTCCTGCCTTCCCTTCGCTCAGTCACCCCCCTCCTGCCTCCCCTTCCCTCAGTCACCCCCTCCTGCCTTCCCTTCCCTCAGTCACCCCCCTCCTGCCTCCCCTTCCCTCAGTCACCCCCCTCCTGCCTCCCCTTCCCTCAGTCACCCCCTCCTGCCTTCCCTTCCCTCAGTCACCCCCTCCTGCCTTCCCTTCCCTCAGTCACCCCCTCCTGCCTTCCCTTCGCTCAGTCACCCCCTCCTGCCTTCCCTTCCCTCAGTCACCCCCCTCCTGCCTCCCCTTCCCTCAGTCACCCCCTCCTGCCTTCCCTTCCCTCAGTCACCCCCTCCTGCCTTCCCTTCGCTCAGTCACCCCCCCTCCTGCCTTCCCTTTGCTCGTCACCCCCCCTGCCTCCCCTTTGCTCGTCACCCCCTCTTGCCTTCCCTTCGCTCGTCACCCCCCTCAGCCCACCCTGGCAGCTGCCCTTCGATCCCCATGAGCTGCAGCACGCAGGTGACAGTGCAGGGTCCCCTCACGCCCTGGTCTCATTTACTGCCTCACCCTCAACTGTGGGATCTTTGCCACTTCCCACAAGGCCACCAGCTCTCCTGGGGTGCGGGTGGGGCACCCTGTTAAGTCTGCTGCCCGTGCTGAATGCCTTGGGGGTCCCCGTATTTGATGGCGTCTTCCCCTGGTTCCATCAGGCTGCAGGTGCTCCCCGTGGTTCGTGTTCCCCCCAGGACTTCAGCTGGGTCGGGCCGGAAGGGACAGTAGCCAATGTGTTTCCACCTGTGTCTTTCCCGACACTTAGAAATGATGCTTTTCCAAGTGCCCCGTGTGGAGCCTCCATTAATTTTGTCGTGAGGAAATAACTGGTGTTACATATTTAAAAGGACACTGTAACAGTCATTGTGACTTTCCTGTCATTTAGGGCACTGTTCCGAATATTGCACCATGTCTCCCAGAACGCGTCACATTTGCCCTGAGCTAAACAGTGGATTTTAGCATGTTTACCCAGTGAATATGGGGAGACGTGTAACAGGCCGTGTTTCCCTCTTGGCTACGGATCCCAGCCCCCACTCCAGCAGGCGACCCGAGACACCCCTCACACGCTTTCGGATCCTTGCCCTTCTCCCCTCTTTCTCTATCTTAAAAGACCCTGCTGGAGGCGTCTTTCTGAACACCACATCCGACTTTTCCTGGAGCCCGCTGGGCACAAATAAATACATGGGTGAATAAGTACACTGTGCCCTTGTGTACACATATAATAAAATCTTTCTCCCATTTCCCCTCATCTCATTTCCTGCCTCCTTCTGTACCATAATCACCAAGGCAGGACAGTCCTCGAAAGCGTGGTGCTGGCCACACAGACACACACACACACACACACACACACCCTAGAAACAGCCTAAGAAACAGATGTAAATTCTGTTTTTAAATAACTTTGAATTGCACACACTACCTTGATATATTTCTAGTTTAAAATGACCAATACATCCAATACCATCTGATGTGCGCAATAGGATCTGATAACATTCATTCTACTTATTCTAAAGTTCGGCTTGCTCTATTAATTTTGCTTCCTTGGGTGTAAATTTTGCAGAATGGTATTTTAAATATATTATCTATTTCCCACAGCAGGGCTTTTGTCCCATTTTTAATGATATGTGATTATACCTTGTAGTCAAGTTTTCATAGTAGAGTGTTTATTTGGGCAGTGTGCACAGCCTGCTTGGAGACAGTAGCACGGTCGCTCAGCACTGGGTTCTCACTCGCCCTCGGCGCATGGAGAGGAGTGGGCCCTGCCCCGGGTACCGTAGTGACCAGCAGTCCCGTGACTGGGTGTCCGCCATCCCTGCAGGCATCACTGCCTCCAAGAACCCCCTCTGCCTCTTCAGATCAGCATCCCCACGCCCCGGGAGCAGAGCCCTCACCCTTGGGGAAGGGGGGGACAGCAGGCAGGGAGACATGCTGTGACTAACCCTCCTCACTGCTCCAGGAGTCACCCTGCGGGTCTCCGGGAGTCCTGCCTGCCCCGGGCATTTGCACAGTCTATTCCGGAAGCACTCTGAGCTCGGTCCCCGCGGCTGCAGCAGCATCTGCGGGTGTCATGGGCTGTAGGGTTTCAGCCTCCCCACCCCTCCGCTCCCTTCTTGCAGGCATTCCTCACACTCTCTGAATCGAGGAGGGACTTCCTTCTCTCCAGGATGATTAACGTTAAAAACATCTTTCCCACGATTTCGATGGTTTGGGGCTAACGAGGGCAAGGCGCGTGTTTCTTAAAAGGGAGCGAGTTGCAGGGGGAGCGCTCCCCGGACAGGTGTGCTCCAGACTCCGCTCTGGAGCAGACCCCGGGGCGTTACATCCAGGTGAACGGTCGGCCACCCTCCCTCGTTCCCTGGTGGCACGCGGCCATCCACGGGAACCAGCAGCATTTTCCGCGCACCAACCTTTCTTTTATACTTTTTTGGACAATCAGACCCAGAATTGAGGAAGGAGGCCAAGGAGGAGAAAGGGGAGGAAGAGAACCATTATTACGGGTATAACAGTGACCCCCCCCCCCATGATCTCCTAGGAAACAGCAGGTGGTTGAGGCAGCTCACCTCCTTGCAGGAACTTCATGGGGTGGACGATGGCATGGTACCTGTCTATGCTGAGGGCCACCAGGACGTAGGTGGAGGCGTAGAGCAGCACGACCTGCAGACAGAAGCGAGAGGAGCCGCGTGACTTCACAGAGCGGAGGGAGGGCACAACGGGAAGATGAGGGCTTGCGCCCTTTGGAAAGCCAGACGGAGCCCAGAGAGGCCTGCGGCGGGGGGGAGGGGGAGGAAGCTGCCGCTGGGATTAGCAGGGCAGGTGGTGGCCGCGGACGATGCCTCCGGCTCTCACGTACTCCCTCATCCACTTGGCTTCCTGGAGGTGCCACCTTCTAGAGTCAGTCCCTCCTTGGACCCTTGCATGGCACATTTGTTGGTGATTGACTTGTAAAGCTAGACTACTTTTCTCTGTCACAATGGACATCCCAGAATAATTAGAAACAAAAAGTTCATTTGCCTTTTAGCAGCGTGAGTTGCTGAGAGAGGGTGAGAGGCGTTTCAGCTGAAATGGGCTGGTTTAAATCATCTGTCATCATCTGCGCGGACACCCAGAGCTGCCCCCTCATCTGCTGCTCCTGCAGGGCTGTTCTGCACAGTAGGTCCCTGGGTCTCCTCCTCCCACTCTCTCTTTATTAACCTTACCTATGCCCTTTAATTATCCTGCGTACAGTGCCATTTGTATACTTTGCAAGGAAGGAAATTGGGATGTAAGACCTTAATATCTCTTATGTGAAGAGCACACTCGAAAATGTAATGAAATGAAATAGCTCTGGAAGGATGACCAAGGTGAAAAATCGTCAGCTCACGTTGAGCCTCATTTCTGCTGGGAGTTCAGCCACATCTCTGCCTCCTGGCCTTTGGGTCAAATCCAGAGCAAGGAGAAGATGAACATGAAGCTGGAACCGGAGGGGGAGTGTCTGATTTCTTTAAAACGAAATAGAACTAACATGGCTTTGGCAATAATCTTTGTCTGCACATGTACCTTTTTGTTTTTTCCCCTGGCTCAAATGCCACGTGACTACGTCGCTGTACTTTATTTTTTTTATCCTCGACGTGAAAGGGACACATCGAGTGGCTGCCACCCGCACGACCGACCAGGGCCAGGGACAAACTGCAACCGAGGTACATGCCCTTAGCGGGAACCGAACCCGGGTCTCTGAGGACCGCAGGCCGACGCTCTAACTGCTAAGCCAAACCAGCCAGGGGATGTCGCTGTACTTTATTGGCTTTGTTTCTCTAACACAACCACAAAGGCCTGACAGCACTACTGTTTCCAAAGGTGTCACCGGGAGGGCCTTCTGGGGACTGATCAGAGACTGACGACCCCCTGAGGAATATAAGGAGAAATTCTCTTGCTAAACAGGTGCTATAGGGACAGAAAGAAACATGACGGCCAAGTTTAACCAAAAAATCAGACAATTGTCTCCAAGAGAAAGTTGAGATTTCTCTGTGTGGCCTATGAGTTCATAATTGTTAGGGCTGGCCACACACAGCGGAGGGGGTGACGTCAGAGAGGGGCTGGGAGAGAGCTCCCCAGGGCAAAGCCCAGGAGGTGGAATGTCTCATGGTGAGAAGACTCAGAATCCGGCCCTCTGAGACTGGACTGGGTGACACCGGTTCCGAACTGGGAGCAGGGGGAGGGTCACCGTGAAGAGTGCCCGGAGAAGCAGACATTAATAAAAAGAGATTTACTTTGAGATGTAGTCAAAAGGGTATTTAATTTCAGGGCTCTTTAAACATCTAGGCACGGTAAAAAAATATTGAAGGTTACATTTAAAAAATGCATCTCGAATGGTCATGCTTTGCTCCACAAAAATAAATGGAAAACAGCATAAAAATATGTTCAGAGTTTGGAAAGAAAAATTATGATCCAAGAGTTTTATAAATATATTTTTATGCCAAGGCACAAAATTATTCTCTTAGATATGTAATTATTCTCTTAGAAGGGAGAAACTACAATATCACATCCTCATCCTGAAGTATCTTCCTTGAGGAGATATTTCTGCTGGTTGGGAATTGTTTCAAAATTAAGAACTCAAGAGGAGGAAAGCGGATTGAATGGTCGTAGCTATGGTAAGCAGTGAGTCAGAAAAACACAAAATGTTGACAAATAACTATGACTATGGCTATGAAATATTTCAGAAAATTAATCTGGGGAGCTGAGAGGAGAGAGGAGAAGGAAAGAAGTCATATTAAATTTCTATTTAGACATTTAGACATCTCTTTTGCAGTTTACTTTAATAGAGACATATTAAATTTGAAATGAAAGATAAGCTATAAAAGGGTGAAATAAAAAGGTGAAAAAATATCTTATTAGTGTCCTATGGCCACTGTAACAAATTGCCACAAACCTTGTGCCTTAAACCAACCTAAGTTTATTCTCTCGCATATTTGGAGAGAAGTGTAAAATCAGCTGCAGAGGGTCCGAACCAGGGTGTTCCCAGGACGCCCCCTTTCCGTGGAGGCGCTGGAGGCACGTGGGTGCCTTGCCCCCCAGCTGCGGTGGCCACCAGCATTCTCTGACTTGTGACCACACCGGTCCCGTCTCTGAGTCGGTGGTTCCAATGCCTCTCTGTGTCTGTGCCATCTCTCCCTCTGACCCCTCTGATAAACATACATATGGCTGTGCCTTGGCCAGTTGTGCTCATTGGTTAGAGCATCGGCTCTCCAAACAAAGGGTCTTGGGTTCGATTTCTGGTCGAGGGCATGTCCCTGGGTTGTGGGTTTGATCTCTGAACCAGGTCGGGGTCATGCAGGAAGCAACCAATCGATGTATCATTCTCACATCGATGCTTCTCTCTCTCTCTCTTCCCCTCCCTTCCTGCCACTCTATCTAAAAACCAATGGAAAAATAATCAGGTGAAGACTAACAAAATAAATAAATAAATAAATAAATAAATAAATAAATAAATAAATAAATAAATAGCTATGATTGCATTTGGACCCACCAGGATTTCAAGATCCTCATCTTCATCACATCTGCAAAGTCCTTTTGTTTTGGCTATATAAAGTAACATACATAAGTTTCAGAGATGAGGATTTGGATATCTTTTGGGGACCACTTTCCAGCCTACCACAATTAACAACCAAACAGAAAGGAAAACAAGTAAATAGGAAAAACGTTTAACAGAAAGATTAAGATGAGGTGGCTTAGACAACACCCATTACTACTTGTCACAATCGATAGAAATGGCTTGAGCTCCTTCACTAAAACAAGGGCTCTTTACAAAACCGTTCCCCCAAATCCCACTGTATCCTCTTTAGAAGAGAAACCTCGAAAACCAAATGATTAGCAAAGTTTACAAATGGAGTGATGGCCAAAGGTATTCAAGCAACTAAAAACTAGGAGGAGACATTCATTACAGCACTACTATTAGACAAATTAAATTTAAGGCAAATAGCGCTTCATGGAATAAAGGGGTTATTTATATTAATAAAAGATACAACACATCATGGCAAGAGAATATTAATAATATTAATAAACTTATAGTATGAAACAAGTAACATAACACTAAATATAAACTACTGAAGTGTTCAGAGTTTTACGAAGAAAAAAACACAATAACTCATAGAAAAAATTAAACAAACTTTAAGAATAATACACATTCATGTAAAATAGCTAGGTAACATTTCAAAAATTGCTCATAAGCAAAACTACAGAGAAAACCACCCCCAATTAATTCCAAAAGTGGAACTTATGTCAGTTTACATATTTAAAACGAGCAAGAAAAGCTGAAATTAGTATTATGTTGTGTTTTTTTTTTTAAATACCACTTGGAAATTTAAATGCCCTTATAATTAACTTGAGTCAAGAAGGAAATCAAAGTACAATTATAGTCAATTCATAAATGTCAACAATGAACACTCTACACATCAACAGCATATGGGATAGCATTTGGAGGACAGACGGCAGCGTGGGGACATATGTTCGCATTCTCGCTACCCCACCCCTCGCTGCTGACAAAAATGACCTCGGAAACACAAAGCCAAGTAAAATCTTGCAGCGACATGAGACTTAAGTAGAGGAAATGTAGGGATATTTATTTCATTTAAAAAATGTGAGGCTGGATGCATTTAAAGGAGGGTTCCCGGAATGACTATAAAACACGTAACGTACTTTATTTTTATAGAACAATATTAGATTTACAGAACAACACTGAGTAGGTAGTACAGAAAGTTCCCACATTAGCCCCCCCTCCCCCACATATACTTCCCCTTATTTATTAACATCTTACCTTAGTGTGGTCCATTTTGAAAGTCGATGAGCCAATGTTGCCACATGATTACATTGTTGCCACATTATTATTAACTAAAGCCCGTGGTTTATATTAAGGTTCACTCTTAGTGTTGTGCATTCTATAAAGTTAATGCATAATGTCATGTATCTGCCATTCAAAAGCCATAATGTCACGTATCCACCCTTACAGTATCACCCGGAAATGCTTTCCTGGCCTAAAAATCCCCCATGCTTTTTACTTTATCCAATCCCCCCCAATCCCTGGCAACCACTGATCTTTTTCACTGTCTCTATAGTTCTGCCTTTTCCAGAATGTCGAACAGTTGTGATCACAGAGTATGTAGCCTTTTCAGATTGGCTTCTTTTACCCAGCAATGCATTTAACATTTCTGCATGGCTTTTCACGTCTTGATAGCTCATTTGTTTTCTTGCTGAATACTGCTTTGTTACATGGCTAGACCATAGTTTATTTATCCTCTAAGTTTTTTTTTTTGTGGCTTGATAGCTCATTTTGTTTTATCACGGAATAATATTTTATCAGAGGGATGAACCAAAGTGTACTTATCCATTCCGCTTTTGAGGAACACCTTGCTTCCAGTTTGGGGCAATTATGAATAGAACTACTGTAAAGATTCTCGTCAGGTTTCTGTGTGGACATAAGTTGTCAGTTCAATTGGGTGAATACCTAGAAACACAGTGGCTAGATCATATGGTAAGAGTATATTCAATTTTATAAGAAAATGACAAATTATCTTCCAAAGTGGCTGTACCCTTTGCATCTCCACATGAAAGGGAGTTCCTGTTATATTCTCTCTAGCATTCCATGAGACCAGTCTTTTGGCGTTTGGCCATTCTAATGGGTG